TATATATCAATTATTATTTAACATTAACATATATTAATGTATAATTACAATAATAATACAATAATAATAAATATATAATAAAATAATATATAATATAATATTATATATTAAATTATATTTATTTCTTAAATTATTTATAAATATTATTTTATAATTATAAATTATATATCGAGATAATTCTTAATTTTACTTATGTTATTTCTTCGATAATATGACATTTGTTTCATTATTATTTAATATATCGATAAACACACATTGATGCTGATGATGCACATTAATTAATGTTTTTTTTTTTTATTTCCAATAATAATGTAATTTTTTCTAAAACAATTTTATAAAGTATCACGAAGATCATTTTACCTAATGAAATGTTTGTATTGTTTCAAATTTTTTACGAGAACCTTCTCGTTGAACGGGATATCAGGTTAAAGTTTAAAGGGTTGTCTAGGATAAATCGAATTTTCCTTGATTTCACGCGTGTCCTCTCACGGAATCGATGCAAAGAGAAGAAGAAGAAGAAGAAGCACCTTCACACGGACGCTTTTCTAAGAAATAGTATAGGTGGAACTTGAAAGTTTTCCTACGAATTTCCAAGTTCGTTAACTCCAACAAAGCGAGCGTTTGTAACGTTGGCTGCGATCAATAATGTTAATAAGAAGATAACTTTAACTAGTTCTATAGGATGGAAGTGTGGGACCAAAAGAGAGAGAGAGAGAGAGAGAAAGATGGTTGTTGTTCCAGGCGTTTTGTTCCCTGCCAACTACGAAAGAGAGTTTCCAACACGTAAATACACGTGCAGATAATACATTATATATACTGCGAAAATTCGATAGGATTTTAAAGAAGAAAGGAAAGGAAAATAAAAGTAATTTTACGTTGTCTCATTATCGATAGTTGAATCTCGACTGTCACCTTATTTTTGGAAAAGAGATGATACTTCAGTTTACCAGTTAGCTGTTAGTATTAACGTGAAAATTCTTGTCACGTTGGTGGTACCACGCTTTTTGCTACCAAGAAAGAAACTTTTTAACTCGACCAAGACATATCTATCCACCTTTCTTTCTCTCTTTCTTTCTTTCTTTATCTTTATCTCTTTCTCTTTCTCCCTTTCTATATTTTTCTCTTACTCTCTTCGTATCTCAAAACTTCTTCTCTTCCACGCTTCTGCAATCAGTTTAACGAGTAAGCCGCGACGACGCTAATTGTGAGCGAAGAGAAACGGCCTCGAATTATTTACGTTCACGCGGAGTCGAGCT